GTGGCAGCAGTCTCTCTCATCTGATGGTACGGGTTTGTGCAATCATTGCAGTTCCATGTGTATTCATCGCCAGAAAAGGAAGGCGTGGGAAAACAGCCAAAGAAAACGATGTGCCTGTCTCTTCTAATGAGGCATACGCAATGTCCAGTTTGAAGAGGACGGAAGAGGCCATATATGAAGTCATTTCGAAATGACGTCTTCCAACTGGCTGAACAGATGAGCACTAGCCTTAGATAATAGACAAACTATAGCTGTATGTCCCTGCCTGCTCTTGTAGTTATCACCATTATGTATGTTTAAAGCAGTAGTTGCATGTTATCAGTGAAGGAAGTATGTAGTACAATGATAAACTCCATAATAAATTTGCACTTAGCTACTATAAACATGTGGCTCTATGTACTAAAATGCAACTATATATGGGGCAGACAAGGGAAGTTGTCACCTAGGAAAAGGTGAACTGATCCACTAGTGAACTGATACAATCTGTGAGCCTTTTATGAACACAGAACCTACTTCTTCACTTCACATAATCGGCATTTTCTGATGGAGCGGTTAGCTACTGGCTAACTTTTGGATTAGACTATGTGTGTGCTTTTAACATAAACCCAAAGGGTCCTTATTCTCCCTATAATCGTTACATTTACACAGCCATCACCCAATGACAATCTCAATTCCAGGCATACTGTTGTGGACTCAGTACGGCATGCTCGTCTCTTCGGTACCCTACTGTGTGAGTATGAAACTCAAACTACAACCAAGCACGTTAATCAAACAAATGTGGTTGATTGAACTCCAGGGAATACACACATAATGCTGACTGGCTTAACCCCACTTTAACTCTACAGCAGCATAAAGTATATAGCCGAGAACAAGTAGAAGACGAGGGAAGTTGTCACCTAGGAAAAGGTGAACTGATCCACTAGTGAACTGATACGATCTGTGAGCCTTTTATGAACCTACTTCTTCACGTTTACATAATCGGTATTTTCAGATGTTACTTAATGCTGGAGGAGCTGGAGCAGTTATACTCGCTAACTTGTGAATTAGACTATGTTTGTGCTTTTACAAAAGCGTAAAGAGTCCCTGATTCCCTGTGTACATTACACCTAGCTACAGCCATCAACTGTATAAAACGAACGACAGTCTCAATTCCAGGCATACTGTTGTGGACTCAGTACGATAATGTGCTCTTTCGGGTACCCTACTGTGTGAGCATGATACTCAAACTACTCAAGCACGTTTAATCCAAACAAAATGTTGTTGATTCAACTCCAAGGAATACACACATAATGCTGACTGACCTGACCCCACTTCAACTCCATGGCAGCATAAACCACGGAACGGTATTATAGCAGGGAGCAAGTAGAAGAGATTTGATAACGTGAGCAGTTGAGCTGAAGGACTCTGTGATGAAGTCTTCAGGGGCATTTGTAGTGGTCTCGATATTTTTACTGAGCCTTCATCTTCACGGTGACTACCCATGTCTAAATTTTGACTTAGTTTGCTAGTTACCATTCACCAACACTTCCTTGCTGCAATCTTTTGCCCACAGGCGTTGAAGGGCTCATGGTCAATGTTGTACTACCTCGAGGAATGGAGTCAGTCAATGGATCTAGTGTGACAATGGGATGTACTAGTCCACTAGTAGACAGTGGTGGTGTGATGGTGTGTGGGTCACGAAGCTATCTGGTTGATAGTTGCTCTCCTGATATTGACACAAATACCTCTGACTGGGCATCTCAGCTAGTAACAGTGAGGAGGAATGAGGGAACTCCTAATATCTCTTACCCTCATGTTCTGCTGACATTTGGCTTTGACACAGCTGTGTCTCTGACTGGAATTGAGATGGATTTGTTCAACTGTTCTGACTGGAACATTGGTGCTCAAGATATCAAAGTGTTTCTCAATTCAGATTACAACTTAGCAGCTACCACTGGCTTATTATTTAGCCTTCCATTTGCGTCTGCTGGTGACGACTCCCTCCAGTCATCTTGTGACTCTCTTCCAACTCTCACCATTTCTGGAGGCTCATTCCTAAGTGGATCCTATCGCACAGTCTATATTCTAGTGGACTTACAACCTCCCTCATCCATACAGTGGGTTCATGTGGGAGAGGTCAGGTTCATTGGTACAGACAGTCCAACTTGTCTTCAACCAACTCCTTCATTATCTGCATCAACACCTTGTAAGTCTGCAGAATCTGTACATAAATGATGGTAGCTATAGCCACTGGCAAATACTCGGAGATTAGTTGTCTCCCAAAGCCCACCAGCATGAAAAAGGGCTCCTCCCACATTATATACACACTTTTAACAATGAAGGCTTACTATAGATCTATCACTTCACGGGTTTTCAAACTTCATACATTTTGTAGTTGAAATCGTGCCTACCTCAGTGTCTAGTCAACTGGAGTCTACTTCAGTGTCTGGTGAACCATTGCCCACTTCAGTTCCTGGAGACAGCGACATGTGCAGTGAGGAGCTCTGTGGCTCAGCTGTGGTTGGTGTGTCAGCAGTATCTCTCCTGCTGATCCTCACTCTCACCACAGTCATCCTCACTCAACCTTGCACTTAGCAAGATAACCAGCTCAAGGGGAAAAGGCACTTATGAGCTGGTGAAAGGACCTGTATATTATAGCTAGTAGACAGCCATGGTAGATATGTGTCAATGTAATTACGATGTGTGTCATTGTAACATAAAATTTTGAAGTGAGCTTTGCTTCACTGCTAAAATTATTCATTGGGATATGATTATAGATGGGTCTATGCCGACACGTTTCATCATTCTGCAAAGACACATTCTCAGCATTACTATATGAAACCCCCTGCAGAGGGTTACATAGTGGAGCTAACTTACCACAGGTGAAACCACCAACAGCCCAAGAGACACTTGGTACTGACACAGCTGTGTCTCTGACTGGAATTGAGTCAGATTTGACTGGAACATTGGTACTGTCTATGCAGATAAGAAGAGAAACTTAGCCCTTGAGCCCTTCTCAACAACCTACAGTACTTCTCTTTATGTCAAACCAGTTTACCTGAACTGGCACATCTCAGTACCCATCTTCAGAGTGGTTTCTGTTGGACAAACAGAACCTTGTTCACCTTTATCCACTATCTGTATCGAGTTCATTAGCTGCTCAAGTACAAATCCAACCTTCTATCAGGAACTTAAAACACGCAATCTGTGAATTTACACTATTTACCTATGGCTTTAGATTCAGTCCTCAGACAAACTGCTACCATTGTTTTATCAAACTGCTACCATTGTTGCTATGTCTGATCAAATGGGCATTCCATGAACACAGCACTGTGACGATTAATGCTGGAGGAACTGGAAAAACATTTGGCAAACATTCAAACCCGAGCACGGAAAAACCCCTAGTAACAGCTCACTTAGACTAATGAACACACAAGAGGTTTTTTCACATAATGTTTATAGCAATTGTGTGTTTCACATAAATTAGTATATCAATGTATGGAGAATTCTTAATCTTCTTGATTCTCCGTAAACACTACACTTTCAGCCATTCAGCAAATGACAGTCTCAATTCGAGGTGTAGCTATCGTTGTAGACTCAGTACGATATGTGTTCTTTCAGGCAGCTACACTACTCTGCCAGTGTACACAAGAAAAAACTACACAAGCATGTTTAATCCAAACAAAATGATGTTGATTCATCTCCAGAGAAGACACACAAAATGCTGACAGGAAGAGGATCAAAACAGCCCCCACCTGACCCCCCTTCGACTCTACTGCTGCATTGATTTGCATATTATGACATTCTGTCGATAGAGCAGCAGAGGTTTGATAAGTTGAGTTGATGGACGTTGCCATGAAGTCTTTAAGTGTGTTGTTACTGGCCTCGGCATTTCTACTGACTTCTCATCTTTATGGTAACAATGCACGTCTAATATTTAGATTGCTTGTTAGCTACAATTCAGCAACACTTTGTTACAGTAATGTTTTGGTAATAGGTGTTGAAGGACTAATGGTCAATGTTGTACTACCTCAAGGAATAGAGTCAGTCAATGGATCTAGTGTGACAATGGGATGTACTAGTCCACTAGTAGACAGTGGTGGTGAGATGGTGTGTGGGTCACGAAGCTATCTGGTTGATGGTTGCTCTCCTGATATTGACACAAGTGCCTCTGACTGGGCATCTCAGCTAGTGACAGTGAGGAGCAGTGAGGGAACTTCTGACCTCCCTTTCCCTCATGTTCTGCTGACATTTGGCTTTGACACAGCTGTGTCGTCTCTGACTGGAATTGAGATGGACTTGTTCAACTGTTCTGACTGGAACATTGGTATTTCCCCGATCACAGTGTATCTCAATCAAGAGTACAACGTAGCAGCTACCACCGACATCTTTAGCCATCCATTTGTGATTGCTGGTGACAACTCCCTCCAGTCATCTTGTGATTCCCTTTCAACTGTTACCATTTCTGGAGGCTCATTCCTAAGTGGATCCTATCGCACAGTCTATATTCTAGTGGACCTATCTTTCTCATCCATACAGTGGGTTCATGTGGGAGAGGTCAGGTTCATTGGTGAACAACTTCCAGGTAGGTGCTCTCATTGAGTAGCAATCACTGTGTTACTAGGATTATGATGACCATATACAGAATGCCAAGTGTTTACCACTACAACTGTTGCCCCATCATCGACGTCAGTTATTGCGGAAACAACTATTGCCCCTACTACCTCTCTCCCCAGTCCTACCCCTGTCTACACCACCATCTCCACACCGACTATCTCATCCATTGACATCATAAGAAGGACCTCTAGCCTGACACCCGATATTTCATCTTCTACAGCCTCACTCCTTCCCTTACCTACTGTTTCTCTTTCCACTGAAACTGCTTTTCCCGTCACCACTTCCGCCATGCCATCTCCTGCTATATCTATCACCAACAGCTCAATAATAGAACTTACCCCTTCTCGGAGTCTCTCTGGGCGTACAATATTTCCTACCAGCACTTTGTTGACTCAAGTGACGGCGTTTACAGTTACCACCGCTATTTCTTCATCGGTTGTATATTCTACTGCCTCCGCTTCAACTCTTACTTTAGCTAATTCAACAACATTTGACACTATGTATTCTTCACACACTTCAGCTACATCCTCTCCAAATATGCCAGTTACTTCAACCACTACCACAGTTTATTCTTCATACTCTGCTTCCAGTAACATTTCATCTACTGAAACAGTTTATTCCTCATTTTCTGGTTCTACTTCCTCATCCACTACCACAGTTCCTCCAGTTTCCATCGTCATAGATTACTCTTCTCCTACCAACCCAACTAGTGTCACTTCACTCCTTACTATAGCTACGCCAACGTCTATCAGTGTCTCTACAATCCCACCAAGTGTGGCCTCCACAGCAAAGAGTACACCTGCCTCTAAAGGAGTTGCTGCCACCCATTATATCCCTACACTCTCATCCGCAACACCAAAAGAGACAATAATAGCGCCAATTCCTTCCCTCAGACAATCAAAGACTGTTGTTGGAGTTTATCTCCCCACATCCACAAGTCTCATTGCTTCAACCTCAATACCTGTGCCGCCTCCTGGGAAGGATCAGGACATAGTACTGTCTTTAGCCACTGCTATCACGTCGGTGATTTTGTCGCTGCTGATTATCACACTGATAATCACCTTAGTTGTTTTAGTGCTCTACAAGAAGGACCTCAAGAGAAACTCGTACAATGTCGATTCCTACATAGCGATTGGACCCCTTGCCCCTGCTCGAATGGACGTCCCCGAAGAAGAAGAAGAGTTAGGGGTGCACAAGGTGACTGTGCCAACGGACCGTGAAAACGGTAACATTTACGAAGTTGCGAAATGACTTGCAAAACTTCAGGTATACTTTCTTTGATCCACAGACGGATGCTTGTATTTTCGATGTAGCTAATATTATATGGCGTGATATTTGTGTTTATTTAGCAACTGACATCGTTATGATATCAAATAAACAATTTGAGCTCTGCATAATAGTGTGCATAGCTGACAGATGTTTACACATTATCTAAACACACAGCACCAATAAAGTGTACTATAAGGACACAGTCAACACTATGCCAAAAGTAGAGCACCAATAAGAGTGTGTATCATAGAAATGCCCATTAAAAACCTTTCCAGGGACATTTCCCAAGGCTCTCCCACGATGGTTGACCTAGCAACTCAAAAACCATTAATTAAGTGTTTTGGTACAGTTTGCCAAGGAAATGACGGAGAAAAGTATCCACTGCCAAAAATGTGAATGATACCACAGACTCCTAAGATAGAATACTATACCAGCTATAGGCAGGGCAACTATAAAGCTGTGGTGGGACTTACAAGTTGACTTGATAGTGCAGT